CCTTTCTGGCCGTAGTTTTTTATCAAAATTCTAAATAAACCTTTGTCACGACAGTGAGAAGCTATTTACGGTGGTTTTGCCACGACAGTGGGAAACCATATTAAGGTACGAACCAACAAGCGACAGCTGAGGCTAGAACCAGATAGTAAAAACTAGGCATTAATTTTAGACACAGCGAAAGCGCTTTAAAAGAAATTAGAATCTATTTGTTTACAAAAAGTAGTTTTAACCCCGAATGGGACAGCGAAAGCGTACATTCGGCCCTTAGAATTATGACCCGAGTCAACAACCATCGTGAGGCGAAGGTCTTTAAACGAGTAAGTTCTCCTGAAAAGTGTTTGCAATAGACAAAAAGGCACTGGTAACCCGCCAAATTCCCGATAGCTAAAGCATTACATACCGATATTCCTTTACCGCATTTCTTTAAACCAAAAATCTTTATTTCTTGTGCATTTAATTTCATACGCATTTAACTTTCCAAATTCCATTAGCCTTAGCTTTACGCCGTAGCGATAGATAACGGTAGATTGACATTGGTCTCTGTGGGTTCGACAATCTTTTATATTACTTCGATATTTCCGTGCACTTGCGGACGCATCAGGCACCATCATCATCAAGCCTAAGTCTCTTCCAATGAGTGAAAACCTCGGTTATTTCTATTGGGTCACCAAGTTTCACCTTTTTAGCAATAACACAAACACATGGGAGACCATATGTTTTCACAATTGTGCATCCACACTTTGCGCTATTAGAGCATATACTATCAACTCGTTTAACATCGTGAAAAATATAATTCAAACCCGACCAAAAAATGTTACCGACCAACTGAGAATATAGAGTGTTGTCTTTAAATCTGTGTTTCAAAATTGTGATGTTCTGACCAAATGATGTTTGTATCTCATTATGCTGGTTTTAAATCATGTGGTTTATGGAGTCCCAATCTCTACACAAATCTCCCTTACTATTTCCCAACCAATTTTTCAAAGTAGCATGGACAGACTAAACTCTGTTAGTTGTTGTATTTTCAAGGTGCTAACATTTCAGTCCATGCACAAAGAATTTTCTCCTTCACCTGGTCAAGAATTGTGCTTTCAACATATTTCAACAAATCTGAATCTTTTCACACACTTTCCTGAAATACATAACAGAATGGGCATATAGTTCTTTTGTGGAAGAATTTATTATACGATTTCAAGCATCCATTATTTTTTCCACAACCACACCCGCCTTCACCATTTTTCCATCTTCGAACTCAATCTATTTCGTCCCTACCGCAGGTTTAACTTGACTTCTCACATTCTTTGTTATATGATACCTACAAAGTAATGCATTATAAGAAGGAAATACCTTTACAACCGAATTCATCAAGGTGGTATCGCGGTTGGTAACAATCACTTTAGGCATCTCATCTTGGTCCTTCAACAGTGTCTGACACACCTCTAAGGCCCAAGTAAAATTGTCCTCTTTTTCACACTCAAGAAATTCAAAATCAACAGAATATGTCTTCTCAGTTGAGGTGATATCAACCATCTCCAACAATATAAGTATATACTTGTTGGTCTTGTAGGTTGAATCAAGTATGAGCACCGTAGGAAACGCGTTGAACAACTTTATAGAATCAGGATGAGCCCAAAATATATCTCTAATAGTAACTTCATTCTCGCACATTTGATACCTATACACGTAATTATTAGCATCCAACAGTTTCAAGAGTTGTTGCTTTTCAATTCTACCTCTTAAGCGCCTTATTAGTAAGGTACCGAATATTATACACTTGATTGATATTTGATATTTTCAGGTTGTTTCCGTTTCAATGTTGCAAGTATATTTTTTCGATTGAACCAGATTCAATGTCATGTTAGCAATGCATTCCTTCTCTTCTGGCATGAGTCGGCACACACTAGATGGCTGACTAAATTTTCACACAAATCACAGTTATGCAAACCACATATCACATTTAATCTCCATTTTGTGTTTGCCAACATGTAATCATGCACCTTAAATGGAAACTCACATTTTCTTGAAACGGTGTTGTCTCTTTTCAAATTCTAGAGAGGAGTTCTATATTTTCTACTTCTTTCGCACATCATTGTCACAAAAGCGTATCTTCTGTCCAAACCATTATCGGACCTTCCGATAACCACACTAAATTCAAGTATAGAGACTTTCATATGAATCCATTGAAACATTTGATCACGAGATTCAAACTCTTTCTCGTTTTTAAATTGGTTGCCAACATCTAGCGCCTTCACAACAACACCTTGGACATTAAGAGAAACAACTTGTTTTGGAAAACATCGGGTACACCATATCTAATGAAAACAATTCAAACCATAACAGTATATAAGTGCAGTGTCACTGCTGAAAAAAGACTTTAAAAATGAACACAGACTACTTCCGAAGATGCATCTCATGACAAGTTCATACTCGTTGGACACATCGCTTTTTTTTTCAACAACAAAAAAAGCTTGATTAATGTGAAAAATGCAATGGAAAATAAAGGATATTTACCTGAAATTTTATCTTCTTTTGTTCCTTATGATGTGGTGAACCAAAAGAATGGAGATTTGGAGTGAAAAAATGGATTGAGATGGAAGAGTTTTTAGTGAGGGTTTGTTTGAAATGTTATGGAGATCCATTTCTAAAATAAAAATAACTCAACTTATAGGATCCTACTCATAATGGTCTGTGTTAAGTGTGTAATGGATACGTCCGAAGATGCATCTTCAAAAACGGAGAGACGTTTTTAAAATTTCGTGTGATACATAAAAAAAACTTATATATATACTTGAATTGAATTTACTCATATTTGCGATAAAACCAAAACCAAATTAAATTAAAAATTAATAAATCAGCTTAGATTAGATTAATCGAATACATTAAAAAAAATATTTAAAAAAATAATCTATTTACCTCAAACAGTTTTCCATAATATTATGACATCTTTTATAAATTGATTCAGTTTTTCCATAGCATATTTAAAAATACATAACATAAAAAAATATTTAACACAAGCAATTAGTTATGTGTTAGAATCTCTGAGCTTAGAAAAACAATATGCGGATTGGAATTAGATTTTCTATAAAAACAATATGATAATTGAAATTAGATTTCCATAAATATGAAATCTCTAATTTGTGTTTCTCAATTTAGGTTGTGAACAACACAATGGGTGTTTCATATTTTTTCTTCTTGAAAATGAATGTTTAATATTAGTTTCTGTGATAATAATTGATATTAAATATACAAATTAATTATACTAAGTTCAGGTAAACAAACTTGCAAATAGAATATTGAAAATCTGTTGCCCTAGTCAAATAACAGAGTTTTTTGGATTAGTTTGAATTTTGCTCAAATTTTATAAAAAAAATGTAAAACCCAAACACTATAATTTGTTTCAAATTCCAATTTGATTTAGTTTAGCTCAAACTAATGAACACCACTATCCACAAGACTTAAAGTCTGTTTCATTTGATTTTATAAAACTGTTTGTTATAATTTTTAAATTTTGAAAACCATAAAACTTGTTTTGACAGTACAATTTTACAAAATTAATTTTGAAAACTATTTTTTATTTAAAAGTTTTAAAAACTAAAAATCTAAAATAAATTTTTGAAGTTTTGGATTTAGATTTAGTTTTGAAAACAAGAAAAAAGAAAAAACAAGAGAAAATTGAACATTTATTAATAACAACAAATTTGTAATATTTTCCAACTTTAAAACAATTTTTAAAAATAAGAATAACAGCCATATTTTATTTTTCTTCTTCAAAACTATTTTTAAAAATTAATTTACAAATAATTTTTAAAAATCAAAAATTAAAACACATTCAAACGGTCCTTTAAAATATGATTGAATGCCACAATATTTATTTGATTTTTATAAAAGTCTTATTGAATAAGATTAGATTTTTCTATCATAAAAGAATTCTTTTAAAATCCTTTGAAATTTCAATTCGGTAGACCCCTAAGATGTTTTTAATTATTTTTAGAATTTCAAATTAATTAATTAATTATAAAATCCTAAGAATAAAAATTAATCTTGGATATTTTTCTTTGGATTTTCTTACCGATTTTAATTTAAGGATTAAAACCAAAAAGATTTTATGAAAAAAAATACATAAACGAAAACAAAAAACACTCCAAAAGGAACCAAAAAACTATTTAACCCTGTTTTAAAATAGAAGATACTCAAGGGCCAAAATGAAAGTATTTGGAGCAAAATGAAAGTATGTTGTTTGGACCTCTCCAAATGCAATTAAAGCTACAATGACTATATTTTACTGCAAATGTTCAAAATATCAACAAACCCTAATTTTAGTTAATAAGTATTAGTTAATGATTTTATGCCTAGAAACCCAAAGATAAACACATGACCAAACTAGCCACAAAATCAATCCTCCAAAGTGAGTAAATAAGACCATATTCATTGTTGACTTAAAATTTAAAGTAGATCATATAATCTCAATATACAAAAATCTAGAGGTGAATACACATCTTATCTTCTCATTTTATATACAAGCTTGCTCATAAGAGCTCAACCCCTACTACATAAATCCTTCACTTAACACTATGCAGTGCCTCTAATAGTTGTATGGTTCTATAACCTCAAAAACTTCACTATGCAGTGCCTCTAATAGTTGTATGGTTCTATAACCTCAAAAACCTCACTATGCAGTGCCTCTAATAGTTGTATGGTTCTATAACCTCAAAAACCTCACTCATTCCTCCACATGCAAGTAATAACTGATGAAAGAAAACTGCTATTTTTATTGATTAGACTCATTCAAAGTAAGCAATTCACTTTAAATGGTAAAGTAAGCAATCTCAACAGATCGATGATATTCCAAAACATTCATGATTTGCTATGCATGTGCAGAATATTATATATCGGTCAAGATTACTTTATATTCTAAATCAACAAATTGCTCACCTTAGAGAAGTTCGATCCTATTTTTAACACATTGCTTACTCAAGTATGTCAAACCTCGGTATCGTATCTCACATGTCATGAGGAGAATCTATTATCTCTTGTTTGTTCAGAACTTCAGGAGGCCCTCTTGCAATTGGCATTCCCATACTGCGTTTAGTATCTGGTTTTGCATAATCGACGAAGACAACACGTCCGTTTAGTGCCTGCCAAGAGATCTCACACTCTCAGATCTCACTTCTAAGTTCTAACCCTAAAAAGAGTAGCAGAATTGCAAATTTGATAATTACCTTTTCATTCATCTCAGCTATGGCATTCTCAGCTTCATCTTGTGAAGCAAAAGTAACAAAACCATACCCTTTGGATTTCTCTGACACCCTATCAGTTACAACTTTAGCTGGAAAAAAATAACATTGTCAAAAGCGAAAAATAAGCGTATGTTTGATTGTGCGGCGAAAAAAACTGATTCTAAGTGAACTAATTTTATAAAATTGATTTTGGAGAAATTCTTGCAAAAGTGAGTTGAAATTTCAGTGTAAAAATGACAAGCTTCAAGTAAAATCAATTCTGGAAAGAGAATCAATTCTACTCGAGAGCAGCCAAACGCGTTAAAATCAATTTTTTACACATCCAGAATCAATTCTAAGTACTCCTAAGGTGAAACCAAACATACACCAAACATTCATGAAAAGTGATTTATCTTTGGATAACTTTATGCAAAATTGAGTTGAACCGTGAATTTCAAATGTAAAAATCACCCTTAAATTCAAAAGCGACAAACTATAGTTTCAAGTAGAATCAATTCTGGAGGCAGAATCAATTCTACTTAAAAAACTAACCAACACAAAATCGTTGCAAAAGCAATTCTCAAAGCTAAACCAAACCTACACTAACATAATGTTAGTGCATTACACTAATCACATTCATTTTAAAGCTACCTTCTATAACTTGTCCATAATTTGAGAATGCTTCTGATAAAGTTTTCTCTGTTGTGTGAAAAGAGAGTCCTACAAAATCAATAATCCATTTTCAAACGTCAATATTAACAAATGGACTCATGCATTCAAAACAAGTATAGAATAAACACAACAACCACTTGAACCGTTTTGATAGTAGGTGAAAACACGAAACCCTAGGGCAAAGTTCCATTTTGAAAAGAAAAATCAAAGTATTGAAAATTGTGTTTGAATAATCGTAAAATTGCAATTAAGAAAGAAATTCAGGAATGTGAATGTGTATACCTCCAATGAAAAGCTTGAAAGAAATTGCTCTGCGGGAAGTGAGAAGAAAGGGAGATACGGAACTGTTGTAGCCGACAATTCTTCTGATGGCTGCCATTGAATGCGAGTGTCGAGCAGAGACGGAGAAGGGAACACGACGGATTAGGGCGCTCTTAATTCGGTAATGGGCTTCAGTTTACTCCAAAAGCCCGATTGTTATGTAGGCTGGGCCTGCCACTACCCACTGCATAGTGGTTTCTTCATGTCACCTTAAATTTAACTTCTACCCCTCACACTTCTATGTTTTTATCATATTAGAGCATCTTTAGTGGGAGTAAACTAAATGGATAAACTAAGATACTTTTTGTGGATCGAAATGATTTGTAGAATTTAAAATATTTATAGTTGATTTGAGTTGTTTTTATTTTAATGATGATTGCTTGTAAAAAAACAAAATTTGACCTCATATTTTATATTTTAATAATATAAAATAATAATTAGAGTCATTGAAATTTGATAGTGTGCGTTGGTTATATAATTACCGAAGATTAATTGTTAGTTCACTTAGTGTCATGTCATTCTTATTTCAATGCAAATAGTTTATAACTACCGTTAATACTACAGAACCTGCACTAAAGATGTTCTTAGCCCTCGCATAGTATTATAGTTTCATTCTTAAAAAGTATTGGAATATTTTGATTTTTTTTAAAACTCTATAAATATACGCACATTTTAAAAATACTATTAGATATTTTCGTTTGATGACAAGTTTGTGTTTTTATCGAACTTTTAGTATTTTTTCTGATTTTTTTTAAAATTTTATCGAATGTTTGGAAATATTCAAAAAAAAAAGTGTAATGTTTTTTTCGTGTTTTTTGGAAAATCTGAAAAAGCTCATATGTTTGATCAGATTTTTTGAAAAATACGGTAAAAATGTATATGTTTTTTTGAATTTTTAGTAAAATGTGGTAAAATTGCAAAATTGTTTCTAGATTTTCGGAAGAAAAAAAAAAGATAAAAATACAATGTTTTTTCTGCATTTTTTTAAAAAGAACTTGAATAAAATTCATACGTTCAATCGTATTTTTTGAAAAATTCAGAAAAAAATTATATTTTTACCGGATATTCCAAACATGCGATAACTCCATAAATTCTGGATTTTTTTGTAAAACTCGATAATTTAAAAAAAATGTTTTTTTCTTTTTTGTAGTGAATATCGAAGGCGCGGATGGTACGATTGTTAATTGACAGCGTGACAGAGTTGTTGTTGCGAGGGCTCGAGTGAGAAGGGAGGTGGCGTTGGGGACTTCCATCTCCAAACGAGGAGAGTGGCGTCGACCGATTCTCATAGGAGGCGGTTGGCCGATCAGACTCAGTTCCGTGTAACTCACACTATCCAACGTAGAAGGTCTAAATTTGTTTGGGTTAGGTGATGTTCAGGCATCGGTTCAGGATGACGTGCAGATGGTGGCAGAGACTGATGTGCACCATCTTGTAGAGACAGAGGTATCTCATACTTCTGAGATGGCAAATATGCCTCATCCTTATGAGGCAGAGGCATCATCTACTATAGAGGTACAATGGAGACAATTATTAAGGTGTCAACTCTACATACGGCTACTGAGGCGCCATCTACTAATGATATGGAGGTTACTCCTCCTGTTGAGTCAGATACCAATTTTCCTCATAAGACAGCTCCTGCTTCGAATGACCAATCTGTACACACAAATTAAGGGTTCCCTTATGGGCTCTATGATTGTTCTATTCTCACTGGATATGCGGATCATATGGCATCAAGATTATGGCAGGGAGAGGAATGTATATTATATGTTGATGATGTGACTTTATTTATTAATGATACTTTAAAATTAACTGATGCTTTTTACTTTGTTTATTACAATATGTATTTCATTTAAGGTCCACCCATGGGTTGAAGTTGAAGAAGTTCTCTGATATCAAGATGCCACTGTAGGTGAAGGCAATAGTTAAGGAGTTTGGTATCCTTTCACTAGTGGATTGTTCGCTTACCATGCTCGACGGTCAGCTATTGAAAGTCTTTGTTGAGCGATGACACAAGGAGACATCTTCCTTCCATTTTTCATTTGGTGAGATGACAATTACATTGGATGATGTCTCCTCACTTCTCCATATTCCCTGGTAGATAACTTCATCACCGCTCCTATCATTAATCAGGAGACTACACATATGACAATTGTACAATACTTGGGGGTTATTGAGCTGCAGGTGATAAATGAGTTTAAGTTTATTGGAATATTTTGATATTTTTGAAAAACTCTATAAATTTAGGCACATTTCAAAAATACTATCAGATATTTTAGTTTGATGACAAGTAATTTGTGTTTTTACCGCATTTTTAGCATTTTTTTCTTGAATTTTTATTGAATGTTTGGAAATATTTAGAAGAAGTGTAATGTTTTTTTTCGCATTTTTTGAAAAATACGAAAAAAATTCATACTTTGATCGGATTTTTTGAAAAATGCACTAAAAATGCAGACCTTTTTCTGAATTTTTAGAAAAATGCAGTAAAATTGCAAAATCGTTTCCATATTTTCCAAAAAATATTTGATAAAAATGTAATGTTTTTCCCCATTTTTTTAAAAATCTAGGTAAATTCATACGTTCAACCGTATTTTTTTAAAAATTCGGAAACACTTTATAAACCTAACACGGTAAGCGAGGCGGTTCGTAGGCACTCAAGCACCCTACTTGTAGCCGTCATAGGCATTTATTGCTTCTGACACGTGGCTCAAGGAGACGTCACGCACGTCTCTTCGAGCCCCCTTGCACGGCTCGAGGAAATGATGTGTCAACCCTTTTCACTTCCGTCGTACCACCCAATATGTCGAGGATAATGCATGAATCTTGCACTTTCATGAACACCTTCTTGAAAGGAGATGAAAGCGAGTCATGTATGCATGTGACAAGCATCTGCCCTCAGTATAAACGCTTGACTGATCCCATCGTCGGCCACAGACGAAGCTCACTATTGCGCATGATTAATATCTTATGCGTCTGGTCCTAAATAACCCCGCGAGCTCAGCGCCTCGGACACGAGCAACACACCAGATAACCCATCCTCAACACGATAGTTGATTCTTAAGTCATTACTCCTACGCATCAGAGCAATGACATGGGGGACTCCTGTTCTGGACTGGGCCAGAGGTTAGCCCACCGTCGGGCACGGTCCAACCCAACTCCTTGTCGATGAGGGTCCAGTGAAGGCTTAATTCATCATCTCACACGAGGAGTTCTCATACGTCTCCCCCACGGTCTCCACGTGCTCCCCACGCGGAACATATCATCAGCCAACTACTCGCGTCCGAAAGAACATGTCACCCACCTTCCGAAGATCACGGGGCAGTTGGATCAGGATGAAGACCATGTGTTGGTCTTCCCTACACCACGTATATCCTAACAGTTATTCGCATTGGGCCTAGCAATCCAACCCAATGTAAAATAACCGTTGATCCATCGCTGGGGCACATTATAAATATTATCTTTCACTAGAGGGTCAGGTATTCTAATTCACTACACTTTCTGTACTTTCTCTCTTTATACTCTGTTTCTCACTCTGACATCGGAGTACCTTGCAGGTACACCCCCTTATCTTCACTACCACAAGCGAATTAGGAACTCACGACAATTGCTGACTGCTAATCTCATTATGGTCCGATTAAATCAGTAATTAAAAGAGATTGTAAGTGTCGTGAATAATTAGTTTTCAAAAGCACGACATACAAGACTTGATGTTATAATTACTTAATAAATGTATTCAGTTATTGCACAACATACCATAAATTGTGAGTTTGATTATGGACATCATTTTTTTGTATCATATATGTATAGTAATGCAAATTTTGGTGGTCTATCTTCAGAGGCAACAAAATTCCCATTGGCATGATTGACATTAAATACTAATAGTAGGTGGTTATCGTCCATTGTTAAATCAGTTGTGAAAAAGTAATAAAATAGTAGTAATTTAAAATACATCAGAAGAATTATTCAAAATTTAAACATGCCAAAAAAATTTAATATGCAAAGATAAAAAGAATGACAACCAAAATAAATAGTTTAATACAACACAATAATTTGCTAAAAATAAAAGAAATCTACAATAAAACAAGAAAATAAAAGACAAAAAATGTAATAACTTGTTTAATTCAATCAAATGATATACTATAAATAAATAAAAAACATCTCTCTGATTTATTATACTTCTAAAAATTACTACAAAACTCTAACAAATATGTACTCTCAATTTATCCGAAGTTTCAACTCTAACAAATGGTTGATGAGACCCTGATTAAACATTATTTATTAATAAATAATTTTATCCATAGATAATTTAGAGGTCATATATTATAATTTGTCTTACAAAACTTTATCACTAGTCCTGGTCACTTCAAATTGGGGTGAAAATTTTGTACCTATATAAATAAATATACATACTGAGTACAATATTTTAAGTATGAACGGTACTTCTCTAAAGCGACCAAATCACTATAAAGAATAAGATGAGTTAAAATGGTCATTGACAAGTCATGAATGATTACTATATCAACAACTGTTTTTTTCTTTTTACCACCTATGAACTACCTACCCATTGCAAGGGATTGCCACCATTCTACCAGTTATACCCATCACACTTAAAATCATTATGCCCAACTCAAGGTCATAACAGTAATTAACATATTCTATTCTTTCACCCAATCAGAAGAACCCATTTTGCCAAGTGGCAGAATTTTTTTAAAAAATTCTTACCATTTCCCTCTCACTCTCACTCTCACCCTCTCTCTTTCTCTCCCCTTCTCTCTCTTACATTTCTCTCTCTTGCCTTTCTCTCTTCCAAAGTTCTCTCTTTCTCTCAAAACCCTAGACCCCCTCTGCCTCCTTTCTCTCTTCCATTTTTGTTAATAGCTTATTTCAGGCATTTCATCGCATTCCTTGCAAGCTACAAGGTATATCGTTATTCGTTTGTGTATTCATTTTGTAATAGCATGGTTTCATTTTTTTGATGTCGCTTTGTTTTTTAATTCAGATTTATCATCATCACCATCGTTTTGTTTATAATGACACATCGTTTTTAATGGCACATGT